ATCCACCCACCTCAGCCTCATGTGCAGGGATTATAGGCATCCCAAATTTTTTAAAAGAGAAAAAGAATTATCACCATGCTGGGCATTATAACACTAATCACATATTTATGCCGAATTTTTCAGCTTTTTATTATATCATTGCAACTTCATAAGTCATTTACATTCTTTCCTTTTTTTCCTCTCTCTCTCCTAAGCCACCATTTTTTTCTGTTTGATTTTTTTTTTTTTTAGGCAGGATCTGGCTCTGTCACCCAGGCTGGAGTACAGTGGCATGATCTCAGCTCACTGCAACCTCCTCCTCAAGCCATCCTCCCACCTCAGCCTCATGTGCAGCTGGGACTACAGGCATGGGCCACCACACCCAGCTAATTTTTGTATTTTTTGTAGATACGGGGTTTTGCTGTGTTGACCAAGCTGATCTCAAACTCCTGGGCTCACAAGGTCTGCCCACCTCAGCCTCCCAAAGTGCTGGGATTACAGGAGTGACCCACTGCACCTGGCTTTCTATTGGATTTTTAACATAGATTAAAAAGAGATTTTTAACATAGATTAAAAATTTTTTTTAAAAATTTAAAAAACTAAAACAGGAGCAGGATTGAAATTTTAAAAAAAAAGAAGAAGAAGAAGAAAAAGGCCAGGGGCAGTGGCTCATGCCTGTAACCCCAGCATTTTGGGAAGCCAAGGTAGGCAGATCACTTGAGGTCAGGAGTTCAAGACCAGTTTGGCCAACATGGTGAAACCCCATCTCTACTAAAAATACAAAACTTAGCCAGGCGTGGTAACACAAGCCTGTAATCCCAGCTACTCAGGTGACTGAGGCAGGAAAATCACTTGAACCCGGGAGGCAGAAGTTGTAGTGAACAGAGATAGTACTACTGCACTGCAGCCCGAGCAACAGAGCAAGACTCCATCCCCCCACCCCCCCAAAAAAAATAAAAATTTTAAATTTTTTAAAAGAGACTGGCTGACATATGTCATACCTCCATATGGCCAGGTGTGATTACAGGTGTGCCCAGCAGGCCACGGTGGGTGAGGAGGGCAGCAGGATGCTCTATAGCCTCGTTTCTCGTGCCATAATGTGCAGAATCCCTGGGTTTTTGTTTGTTTGTTTGTTTGTTTTTGTTTTTGTTTGAGACTGGATCTTACTCTGTCGCCCAGGGTGAAGTGCGGTGGCGCAGTCATAGCTCACTGCACGCGTAAGTCTTGTTAAAAGGTAGACCTGGGGATAGGGTGTGAATTCGTGCACCTCTAACAAGCACGTAGGTGATATCCATTAGGCTAGTTCAGTGACTACACTATGAGTAGCAAAGACAGGAAGGGACCTATGGGCTCTGGATTCAGAGAGCATTCCTACCTCTTTCCAGTTTCAGTGTAACCTGGGTAACATAAGCTTCCTCATCTGTAAAATCAGGTAACAGGTTGATGCAAAAGTAATTGCGGTTTTTGCCATTGAAAGTAATGGCCAAAAC